TTCTGTTCTGATTAAAAAAAAAAAAAAAAAAAGATTAACCCTATTTGTTAATAGTTATTGTATTAATTAGAATTTTAGGTAATTAAAAAATAGAAAAAAAAATAAAGAAAAAAAAGCCAAAGTAACAGTTTTAAATATTTAAAGTTCCATTAAAAACACTATCTGTACTATTTGTAAAGAAAAATCTTTTTATAACTATAAGAATATTTACCAGTCTTAATGCTGTTTTTTAAAAAAATATTGAAAAATATAACCCAGGAACTCATCAAAACATTAAGATGACAAACAAAAATAGAAATAAAATTGTTATATATAACTGAATGAACATGAGAAAGCATACCCAAGACCACTGCGAATTATTTCAAAAATATTATGCTGTCTAAACTGGGAAAATAGCACCTGAAAAAGATAAATTCATGCTGACTGAGTAGAATAATAAACTACACTCACCTTATCCCTAATGTGAATGTTCGTTAAGTACTCAGATGGAACATGGAAGTCTGGATAATAAAATGAAAAAAGCCTTATTAACTGATTCTCAGTTACAAATATATTTTTAAAAAGGTCTGATCACAAATATATTCTCCTACCTATGTCTTGAGGTCGACAAGGTGAAGATGCCCAGGGTGATGCAAATTTGGGGTAGAGATTTCTGAATAAGGGGGGAAAAAAAACACTCTGAAGTCCAAAGTACAAAAAAGATATCTAATTTTAGTTCAGGAAATCAGGAATACCAATTACTTCAAATGTAAAATTAGCATTTTTAGTTCTAATTTCCTTTCTTGGGTTTACTATGAGTTATATACATACAGCAGAAAACTGATACAAGATTTATATATACATATGAAAAAATTACTTCAACTCGGAATGCTTTAAATTCATTAATACCATGCTCCCAAGTAAAATTACTTTCCATTTATATGTAAGTATTAAAAGCAAAAGTTCAAATTCACCAAATATTCATGTTTGAATGCCTATTATATGCCTGGCACTTTTCTAGGTGCTTGGGATATATCAGTGAACAAAGCAAAGATCACTAACAACATGAAACTTACTTTTTGTTTGGGGATGGTAGATTTGGAGAGAGGTAGACAAAAACAATTTGTACAATAAATAAATAATATTCCACATTAGTAGAGAGGTAGCGAGGGGAAATTAGTTGCATAATTAAATAAGGTAGTTAGGTTAGGTCTTATTTAGAAGGTCAGATATGAACAAAGATTTGAAAGATGTAAGGGAATTAATTATCTGGCAAAGACTGTTCTAGTCCGAGGAAACTGCTAGAACAAGTTAAGGCAGCATATGACTGACATCTGTGAGGACCACTAAGAAGGCCAGTGAAACTGGAGCAGAGTGAACAAAGGGAGAAGCTTCTGAGGCAGGGGTAAGAGAGAAACACAGAACATGCCTATAGAGATTAGGAGGCCTGTAAAGATTTTGGGTTTTTAATCATAACAAAACTGAAAACCCTTATTGAGTATTGAGTAGTCAGTTAACTTATTCAAAAAGAATTGTCGTGGCTACTGTATAAAGAAGAGATTGTGAAGGGGTACAGGGAAGATCAAGGATACCTAGTGATTGGCTAATAAAGTAATCCAGGCAAGAAAGGATGGTGATCAGGGTGGTAGCAGTTAAAAGCAGTGAGATGCAACACAGAAATGATTCCATTATGTCAAATGTTGTTGACAAGTCAAAAAGGATAAGTTCCTAGAAGTGACCACTGAATTTAATAACACAGAGGCCATTTGATGACCTTGACGACAACAGTTTTAGTGTAATGGGGCAAAATCTTAACTAAAATTCTGTGTTCTAATGGAGACTAGGAAAAGACAAATAAGAGATAGAGATGGCTCTTTTGAATTTTGCTTCAAAGAAGAATAAAGAAATGGGGATCATTAGTCAGATCATGAAAAAGTATTTAATATGGAAAAAGTAATAACTTGTTTGTATGTTGAGGGAAATAATCCAACAAAATGCAAAAAATTGTGAAAGCATGGATTAACTAAGGCAAGAGGGTAGAAGACAAGAAAGAATAAGGGGGGGGTACAGATGGTAGTAAGTAATTAGATTTGGTGAGAGGACTAGGCTGACATTTTCTTCTGACTGCTTCAATCTCAGTAAAGCAGAAATAAACAACGTCATCATGTGAGAGTAAGAACAGGGGAAAAGAATTACGGGTTTGAATAGGCAAGTATAAAACAGCTGCATAGGAGAACAAAAAGAATGACTGGACTAGGCATGCCAGCACTAATTATGTTTGGCAAAATTAAAGTCCCACTATTGAGGTTCCTGACATAAATTTATCATCAGTGAAGTTATGTGTTTTCCTCTAACCAGGGTCAGTAGCAAACATCAAAAATGGAATAGGCGGAAATATAACCAGGGTTAGTTTTTGCCATCCAAGTATGACAAAACAAGAGAGGGCAAAATAGTCAAGGATATATGTAATGGGCAGTATGACTGACCACTGAACTTAATAAGAAGTGACTTCATGTGGGGAAACAGAGATAGGCATGTCGAGGAACAACAAAAAGGTAAAAGCATCAATTGAAAGTCCCAATGGAGTTGAATGATAACAGGAGCCAGTACCAGAGGGAGAGAGACAGAAAACAGAAAGTGGGATGGACAGACTTAAAATTACAGAGAAACTACAGTGACTATTAATGGCAAGGTCAAAAGGACGACTAAAGAAGTGAACAGGTGAGGTATGGTAAAAGGCAAGATTTTTGAAGAGAAATTCAAGGACCTGAGATTTCAGGATTTTGATCCAGGAGCTAATATGAGAGGGAATGACCCAAAGAGTCAGTAGATAACAGCAATAATGAGTGGCAGCAGGTGATATAATTTAATGACAAGATATTAAAAACTGCAAGTGTGCAGGGAGGTATTATACATAAATGTGGAAGAAAAAAACTTACTCAGGAGAGTTCAGATTGAGGCCTAATGTTGTTAAGTCACTTCCTAATGCAAGATGTACCATTCCTGGGTCTGTCTCTGCTGCCCTGATAAATGTTAACAGGCCAATCATTCCAAATTGGTCCGTCACCATCCCTTGAGGAATGTTTGTAACCCGACCTGAATAAGAAAAACGTGGTCATTTTTCTTTGATGAAAAGTACAGAAAATGAATTCTATAACATCACTGACATATTTTATAGAGTCCCACCATCAGGTAACACCTGGATCCCTTTTTTCTGCTGGTTATTATTCTGTGTTGTTGAACTTTTATCTCCAGGGAATTTGGGTCCATCTGTACTTGAAGTTGTCTTGCCAGATGTATTCAAATTCTAACATAAAAAAAAAAATTAAATTTAACATTAAAATGTGTTAAGTGTAAAAATTTTCAAGTTCATATATTAGTAACTTTCTATTCATTCTTTATTATGTTTAAATTGGTAGTAAATTATTACCTGTTTTTCAAGGCCTACATGAAATTTTTTTGTTTCCACAAATGTGCCATGGTATATAAATTAAGTCCTGTATGATATCAATTTGAGTATTTAAAGAACAAGCAATATATGGAAAATATTCTTATTCATCTCAGATCTTCAGTCACGGATAAAATATATTATCTATCTATCTATCATCTCAGTACTTTATGCTTTGGAATACACTTGAAGATCTACTCTTCAATACTTTCATTTATAAGAGAAACTACTAAACATAGTATATTACCTAAAATATCATAAAAATATACAGGATAAGTCAGAATATATGCACTTTTAAAATTCATATTTACTTTAATTCTTACCCAATATTCTTCTTTATTAATTATTTTAATGATATACAAACTCCCGTCACACACAAAAAGTTATTTTCAGCGAAATGTGGAAGAAATAAACATATTCGTTAAGTCAGAAAGAGGAAGCTGAGTTGGCTGAATCAACACAGGAATAAAAATGTGTATAAAGATTCTTCAAGGAGAAAACTTACTCAAGAAAAACACAGCTCCTTAGAAGGCTATAATATCAAACTTCATGGGATCCAGCTGACAGGGACTACAATAAAAGTCTAAATTAACTCTGAGAAGTTCAACAGAAATTTGCAAACCTATATGAAATAGGAAAAAAATAGGCTATCTTCTAAGTTATAAAGCTTTTCCATATTCTTCAGAAGTTAATTACAGATATTCAAGATAAACAACTTTGTAATAGTATTTAATATGTCCTTAATACAGTTGATAAAACTGTTAATATAAGAGAAGTCTGAAGGGAAAAAACTACATCACTCACATATATAATTCTCAGTTACTTACAGATTTACTGTCATCATTACTTGATGTTGGATCTTTATAGCTGGAACCGGGTAATGCTGGAAAATCTTCGTTGTGTATTGAAAAGTCCTGGGATTGCTCATTTGCTGGTTTTGTTACCATTCCAACTATGTAATGAAAATAATCCAGAGAATTGCAATTGATATTTATGATATTTTGCTATAAATTATAAAAAGTTAACTTTCCTCATGAGAATATACCAAAAAGATTCTCATTTTGCTATGAAAGCATATTTCAAAAAAATTAGTATTCAGGGTAACAATGAAGAACTAAAGTTCTTGTATACTGATTAATAACTTAATATACAAAATAATACAAGAGAAAGAAGTGGCAATCCTATAATTAATCTAATGTCATATACAGATGTTTAAAAATATAATTTGATATTAGTAATCATTATTAACATTTTTGGTTTAAAAACTTGATTTAAATATTTGACTAGCTATTACTGATACCAGTTAATTGTCAAATACAAAGGAACAAAATAAATTTTAAAAGAACATGTCAGTATTCTACTTGAAAGTGACTTACAGAGTGAGCAAATTGCAATCAATTATAAAACAACTCCATATTATTTCAGATTTTCTTGGATTCCATGAAATAGATGTAAAACATGCAAGAACTGGGAAGTAATCCTCCCACTATACTTGGCATTAGTCAGGCCCTTATTGGAGAACAATATCCAGTATGGGGCTCCACAATTCAAGAACGATATGGAGAAACTAGAGATGGTCCAAGGAGAGCAACGGGAATGATTAAAGGGATGAAAAAATGGACCTATGAGGAAAGGTTAAAAATATTAGAGTCTGAACTGAGAATCAAGTAGCTAGGTACTCAACTTCCAGGGCAGATCATATTTTTATTTTTGGAAGAGTGATTTAAAAACTTTAGAATATGAACAATTAATTTTTCCATTCTTGACATATTGTTATTTGTATTCATATTCTAAAAGGCATAGAAATCCTTCTAAGCTGAAAATGGGAAAAACCGTTATAAAAGTGATGAACTGATCCCTCTAAATTCATTGTTTCTGCTACTGGTCTCTATCAGGTTCTCCCAAAAAGAAATAAATAGGTGTAAAAGATAAAAACAATATGGCTACATTGCTCTTACATAATTTTCATGTCTAAAATCATTACTGCATGTTTCACGCCCCCCCCCACTTCTTTTCATTTACCTTGTCTTAGCCAGATATCTTATTTATTAGAGACAGTAAGAAAGGGGTATTAACGGTGACCGAGAGTCTACATAAATTATACATGACCTATAAGCAGTGGTTCTCAACAAGAGGCAATTTTTTCTCCCTTGGGATATTTGTCAATGTATGAAGACATCTGTACTTGTCACAATGGGGGAAGGTTGGAAGACAGGGGGTGTTACTGATATCAAATAGGCAGAAGCTAGGGATGTTGCTAAACATTCAATAATGCACAGGACAGCCCCACATTTACAAGGAATTATCTGACCCAAATGTCATTAGTGTGGAGGTTAATAAACTGGCTTAGAAAAAATCTTTACTGGATGGTCAGTCATTATTAATCTCTAGGAATGCAAGAATGTGTTCTTTTAAAAAATGCGTGATCGATGAAAAAAAAAAAAAGGCAGACCACAATATAATTATTAAGGTATATTAAGGCAGAACTGACAAAAGAAAATAACTTCTGAATACCAATGAAGACTTCCTTTTGGGGTTTCTGTACAAACTAAGTTTTCCCAAAATGCTAAGATACTATTCTGGGAAGAAAAAGAACTTTGTATATATCAACTCTAACAAATTGTGTGTGTGTGTATGCAATGGAAACTTTCCATTGACCATCATTTAAAAACTTAATTACCATAAGGAGCTCTTCCAGCCAAGGGGTTTATTAATGGAGTTGGGTTACCACTTCCTTCCCTTCTGTTTCGATCTGCTAATGCTGGAAAATCTGAAAGGTCCAATCCTGTCACATTTTCGCTTCCATCTAAATAAGAAAGAACACTAGTTATTGATTCTACAAACATTTTAAACAGATTATTAAAGACCAACATAATATAAAATGACAGCACCTTCGTCCTAAATAACACACAGCGCTATACCAGTGATGTAATTTTTTCTCTTCCACACAATAAATACTTGTGGATTGATTTCACATGAAAGAATTTCATAAACAATTCAGCAAAGCAATACGTAAGTAGCGTAATCAAAATCTCAAATTTTGGAGACTTAAGATAGAGAATAAGGAATATGTTATTTCTCCTGTGAAAGAAGGTACTTTAAAATTACAGCTTGTTAGCTAGCAAGAGAGAGACTATTGTGATGTAACTGCTCTTTTCGTTATGTGCAAAAGCAGAGTTTGCATCTGGAATGCTTGGAGCTTCAGTTATATACAGGTGTGAGAATGAGAGTACCGCCTGCAAATGGCCGTAGTCATATCTGAGGTATTGGCAGTAGAAGCAGAAGTCTTAAGGGCTTCTGTCCTGTGGTCTATTGATTCCATACACAAATGTGTATGCATGCATATGTGAATGTGTGTGTTTTGCAGTTGGGGGTGTAAATAGGGTTCCCATGTCTGGTGAATGCATGCGAAGCATGAGGGTATGATGTAAAGCCCAAAGTTTATATTACCTATTACACAGTAGGCGCTCAATAAATATATATTAAATGAATAAATTTATTTTTGTTCTTTTAAACTTTAAAAAATCAGCTCTCTTCCTTTTAAAAGTTAAAATTTAACCCAACATTTCTACTTTGCCTATTTTAATCATTTCCTTGATTTCTTAACTTTTATTATTCTATTATTCTTAAAATCTTGTTTTATTTAAAGTTTTAAAGGATTTAATTTTCTACTTTGGTTTTAGCCTGCACTATAGCTTTTCTTTAATTTTTATTTCATCTAGTGTTTTATGACCATTTTCAATTTATTTTGCCCTTTTTTCCAGTTAATTTTGTCTCCAAGTTTCATAATTAAAAGAATCTCAGGAGAGAAAACTATTATCTCAAGATTACTTTGCTGACGGAAAAACAATACACTCTGTTGACATTCCAAGTTAGTTAACAATTTAAAATTATGAAGGGTAAAAGGTAAAACGAATTATACCCACTGTTTTTAAACAAATTGCAGTTTATGAATTTTGAATTTTAATATTTATATGAACAAGACAAAAATTAACAATTTATAGTTTCAATCTATACAGTAATCTCTCTTGAATTATTTGATTACAAATTAATTACAAACTCCAAATATATAACAACTTTTAATATACATTTTCAGATCCTCTAGGATGGAATTTAAAATTGCCATATATTAATCAAGAATATTTTTAACTTAAAAAAGTTAATAAATCCCCCAATTTATAGTTTTAGGAAAAGACTTAGAAACAATTTTCCTATTTTAAAATATACTTAGTTAAAACTGCATTTTAAAAATAATTCTAGAATTTACAGAACTGTATGAAACCATAATTCAGAATATAAGATGGCACTGTCAGACAGTTACTTTATGGTCCATATTAAAATAATACTTCATATTATTTTAACATCTTGAACACAATACTATAATTTTCAAATGCTAAAACTTGACAATTTAAAATTTCACTTGATCAATTTATGCTGCTAAACACACAATAACATTTAAAAATAAAAAGCCCTTAGCCACATATGACATTTCATTACTAAATCTCTCGTGCTTCCACATAGCTCCATTTCACTCATCATTCTTTCACCTTCTACTTCCTTTACATACATTTCTCTCTCAACAATCGTATTCATTTGGCTCCTATGACCATAACAACATCCTTTATTTCCTTTCTCTGGAAGCAAGGGTAGAAGAAGGTGAAACCCAAATCAGAATAGTAACAAAGCCTCCCGTTTGGTCTGAAACAGTTGATAAAATAAACCAACAGACTGCAGGAATTCTTCACTGTCAAAATCAGAATTGGTTTTCCATATAATTAAATTCTGAATTTCACACATAAAACTGGATAAAAACTTCGTAAGGGTTAAATGCCAAAATTAGTAGTATTAAAACTATTAAAAAATTATAAGTGATCCACGTAATTTTAAAGATTTCTTCAATCTGAGTCTTTCTAACCAGAATGCCATACTACCCAACCTAGTTTAGACGGCAGGTGACAGGATTGAGGGGAAAAGCTCTTGAAGCAAAAGACTCTGAGGCATAAATATATACTGTTAATGTTTAGGATCCTCTAGGTGTTAAGGAAATAATACTTATATTATAACATTATGCCATTATCATGCCAAGTAAAAAATATATTTAAATCTTTCAACTGTTCACTGAATTATATTCTATGCCTACGAAAATCTTACTAAATTAAATTCTACATTTTAATCCCCCCCCCAAAAAAAATCCTGTAATATTTATTCTAAGAGCAGTATGTTCAATTGCTTTATATTTCAAAGATCTACCATATTTTTATAGGGTACTAGCTTCAGAATAAGCTTACCTGTTCCATTAAAAATGTTACTTGATAAGGAGTTATTCATTCCAAATGCCTGATTCCTGTTCATTCCAAATCCAGACATACTGGGTACATAGAAAATAATTTTAGATATACAGTAAGAACACTAACTTTCGGATGAAGAAAAACAAAAGTATATACTTTTGATCTCCTCATATAAAACAACAATATGTTTTAAAACAAATACTAATTCTATTTTTTCTAAGTTTAATCTTTAATTTTATTTAAAAACTTCCCTAAGTCCTTCCATGAACAAGAGTACCAAAATGTCTTATACAAATTAAAAAGCAAAAAACAAATAATTTATAAGTTTTGAGGAAAACAGAGATTAAGGGTACTGTTTTGTGTACTTGCAAAGTCAACATACTGGATAAACTGGCAGAACTAACCTCAAAACTGCACTTTAGTGTATAACTATTATTCCTGAACTCTTGTTTTTCTTTTGCTACTGGGAAAGCATGCTACTGTCACCTTTCATAAAAGATCCTTTTTCATACACTATGTCCTCTCCTCATGAGAGAGTCCATGACATATTCATCTTTGCATTCTCTGCCCTGAGTGTCCAGGAGGATATAACAAGCACTCAATAAATATTTAGTTGACTTGAATTAAATGGTGCTTTTCTTTAACTGAATTTAGTGTTCCAAAACACGTCATTCTTATCTAAATATAGTTTATTTTTCAGCTACTTAAAAGAAAAAAAATATTTAAGTAGTGCCCTCAATTCCAAATTAATGCACAATTGGTACCTGGTAAACAGTTACAAATGCCTCCCTTTTTTGCACTAGCCTAAACACAGGAAAACAAAAACAACAAACAAGACTGAACTTAAATCAAGGCCAGAAGCAATTAAGAATTTCAAAAAGAATTAATGAAAATTCTACAATGAAAGTATGCAACTTTAACAACAAATTATCCGATAAGAGACAGTGTATCTATTATAAGTAGGGTTAAACTGTTTGAAAATAACAGGATTTTGTGTGTCTGTGTGTGTGTGTGTGTGTTTTGCTTAAATCTGTTAAAACTAACTATGGCCAAACAATATTTTCATAAAATATGTAGCTGGTGAAACAATAATGCTCTAGAGAGTAAGAAAGCCAATAGAAATTTTTGTTATTTTAATTGCGTGTTAGAACTGCTGCTAATAAGGTACCCTCAAATACTGAAAAAGTATTAAAAGATGAAAACATTCTATAATAAATACAACATCAAGGGTAATAAGCAGAGTTTTAGACACCCACGTTTCCTCGACAATTTATACATAAAGTATTTTTTAAAAACAATTAAAATTTGAAAAAATATACAGACAAAAGTTTAAATATATATTTGATCAATGAACAGTACCTACAAGAATGCAGAAAGATATGATAAAGCCCAAGAAATATTATATAAATAGGAAGCTATCGAGATGAGAACTTTGATAACCTTTTACGAATAACTTAAAAAATTAAAAGTGGTAAAATTATAAAAGAAATACTCATAAGTCTAAATAAAAGCAAGAATTAGAGCTTATGGGATGAAGATTAAACAGGAAATGTGCTAATAACCTATTTTAATTTAGTTTTTACAAGTACTAGAGTGAAATAAATGGGTATGATGATAGCAACTAAATCAAGTTCCTTTTCCCCTCTAGAGTTCCTCGTTAAAAAAAAAAAAAAAAAAACCTGACAAACTTAAATGCTATTTTTGCAAGGAAGAAGGCCTTTTATTGTAGACCTAATTCTCATATAAATTATCTAAACAGCTTAAAAATCCTAACATAAAGGATAATTGGTCTTCATACTGTTATTATTTGCATAATAGTATATGCAATGAATAGTGCAAAAAATAATAAAAAAGCACAATAGCTCATCTTTTTGTTTTAAATATCAGGACAAGACATAATTTTCAAATACTTATAGATGTAGTTTTAAAAAGTCTTTGGCCATTAAGTCTCTCCAAAGCACAAAATTGAATTTTGGTTAAAAAGGTACTTAACCAAAGCATAAATGGAGCAAGGCGTAATAGTCAAACATGTCTCCAGTCCCATTCGTAAGTCTGGAACTCTTACTAAATAAGTAACCAGCCTCATTAAATAGAAGAAGGGCACATCAAAAAAAAAATCTGCCTTGTGGCAACCAAAGAACAATCCTCTTCCAACAGCAACAAAAAGTTTTAATGTGTTTTCTAAAATCAAACTGATTTTCAAAAGAACATATCTTTAGTTTGGGGAAGTTAAAGTTGTGATGTGTAACTTAGAGAATGTCTGGTCATAAACATATGATGAAACACATTTATGAGACAGAAGCCATGACTCAAGAACAGAATGTCGAATATGAAAAGGCAAATTTGAAAATACCCAGAAAGACAATTATACACAGTATCAATAAACATCTTACCTGTTCACAGTAAAAGGCTGTCGAGAAGGCTGCTGCTTTGGCATACATATTATGCTTGGCGAGCTTCTGTTGGGGCTACCTAACCCTGAACTGCTCATGCTATTTGTCCTGCTAGGAATTCCAATGCCCTGACCAACCTGGGAGTGGTTCATCATATTCCTAGGATTCATAGGCAAAATACCCCTGAAAAAGAAGTCCATTATACTAAATAAGCTCTCTACAATTACTCATTAAAATTCTCTTTAAATAATCAATTGCTCTAATCCTAGAAAAAGCAAATATACTTTCAAATTGCATTGCTAATTTTTATTAATTGAATTATTCTGTCTGGTCGTTATAGCTCTTTAGTGTGACTATGACATAAAATAATACAAATGTATTTCACATATATATTAGAATAATTTCATTCCAAATGTCATTCTATCTCCTTTATACTAATATGCATAGTTTAAGTAATCTGTTTTCTTTTATTCTCACTAGTGATGAAGGAACAATAATCAGAATTATCTGAGGAGTGATTTTAAATTGCACATCCTCTGTGGAGGAAGAGAGCTGACTTTTGAAAAAGCCCCCCAGTTGGTGATTAACCCTGGATACCCACCCAGTTGACAACCAGTACGACAGCTACAAGGTAAAAATATCTTATCGTAGACTTATCAATTTGCAATAAAATAAAAGGAGCATTGGGTTATCAACTTTCTTTTCCTAAGTGAAAGGCACTGAACCATTTAGTTACCTTATTAAAAAAAAAAAAAAAAAAAAAACTAAAAAAGCTTGCTTATTCTACAAAGATACATTTTGAGAAATATTCTGGTCCATCAATAAATACCTGCTTGGAGATGGAGGCGTGTGAAGTGACATTGTTGGTACCCCTGTTGTTGGCGTGACGTGGCTCGGTAACTGAGTGCCTTGTGATAAGCTGCGATTTAACTGAGGGGTATTGTTGCTCATCCCCCTCATTGGAAGGCCTAGTGCACCTATTAAAAAAATTCAGAAGAAGGAAATTCATTGCCATCAGGAATGAAATTGTTATCCATCTTCTGGAATTGGCAATTTAAAGCATTTAAAAATGACCTAACATAATATAATTTTCAAATTTAAATGGATATATTCAATTCACTCAAAATGGACTCTAATTTTAACAAAAATAATGTTCTAATCTGAAATTTAGTATTATGACTGAATATTGCTTTCGTATTTCTTTTCATACTTCTATTTTACAATAAACTATGTCTGAGAATGATTGCAACAAATTAGATGACATGTTCAATAAAAACATTTTGTACAAGTATGCCTTTAAGAAATTTGCAATCCTGTGTTTCGTTTTAAATCATAACCGAGGTACACAGACATTTGATCATGCTTTGCTGAAGTAACTTTAATTTTCATATGATCCTTTTTAAATGCATTTAAGAAAAAGTCTCTTTACCACTATTTATACACACATACTTCTCAACATTACAATTTTTACAAACCCAACATAAAATATCAGCAACAGATTAAAAAACTCAACCTAGTAAAGCTATAAGTGACAAAAATTTAAAACAAGTTTTAAAATTTCAAAGGACACTGACCTTCTATTTTAATACTCCTGGGGCCAGATACAGGGAGAAATGTTTTCCAATAGGTGCATTTTAAAAGATTACTGAGGGTTTACCATTCAAATATGAAAACATTAAAAAGTTAAACAATTGGGATAAACATTTCAAAAATGTTATGACGTTTCCTACCTTTTAATATGAAATATAAATTATTTTCTTAATGACTCAGAATAATTATCATGGATATTTAATGTGCTAGATGGTTCTTTTTCCCCTTTTTTATCCCTCAAAGTTAAGGATGTTCAGCTGTCACTTATGTAGTGATCATACCTCACTATGATTGAATGCCTCCTTGCCTCCATTTTCCTGACCCACACTTTTTGGTGCTTTCTGTTTCTGTCTGCTGTGGAATGGCACACCAGTCAAATTAGCTTATTCTGACTAGAGGTTAAATAAAAGTGATAAGATGAAGTAAGAGCTAATGAGTAAGTAGATGACTTTAGTGCTAGGGACTTAAAATGACCCCTATCCGTTTTTGGTCTAACTTTGGGCCCAAGAATTGGAAAGACCTGAATATTTTGAAACTATGATCTCCAGAAAATTGTATGTGTGTGAATATTTCCTTCAAATATCTTTGCAAAGTTTATCTTTGATCCTAACAATGTACCTCCTTCTAACCTACTAGGGATACCACTGCATCACAAAGATTTTACTGGAATTTTCCAGCCTCGGCACTCAGCTTGTAAACCAACTTTGCTTCTCAAATGAATGAAGCCAATGAATACGAATCAATATAGTTACTATATTCTATTTGTATTCTTTTCCACTCATGTTCCATGAAAACCCAAGCTTGGTTCTGCATTTCTTTTTTTAAGTTGCATGAAGAGAAGTGGCCAAGATTATGTGTTGGTTTAGTCACTATATGTATGTCTGGTCACTACAAATTTTGTGACCATGACTATACCACTTGCTGCAGCCACTTTCTCTGAATCTGGGACAAAATAAGGAAGAATGAGAGATTAAAATATCAGGCTATGTAAAATTTCTTCAGAAAATATCTTTCCTTCTTTCAAGCACACAATTTTCCCCAAGGTCCTCTAGAGGTTCCCATAATGAATCACCAAAGTGATACCCATATCACTCACCCAATATTTATTGAGTGTCTATAATGTGCTCAGCATGGTGCTAGCTGCTGGAGATACAGCAATGAACAAGACAGAAAAATGCTCCTACCCTCTGGGAGCTTATACTCTTCTCCCCAAATATGTTGTCCTAAAGTCAGCTATAGCTGCGAATTTCCCACAGGAATGTGTTTCTCACAGTTACTAACCACAAGAAATATTATACAATTTTAGAGCCAGGAGGGACCTTAAAGATCACTTGATTCAATGTATGTATTTTACAGATGAGGAATCTGAGCCTCAGTTAATGGACTTCTCCAAGGTGACACAAAGAACCAAGACTAGAACTTAGAGCTCTTAACTCCTGGTGTTCTGAATGGCAACCTATGAGAACCCAATATAACACCAAATTAGCATCATTGTGAGTGCCTACCGAATTTTAATAATCACTTATCTATCGTTTTTTCTCTTGCTCTCTTTGAATGTTTACTTCTCTTCGAATTTTTCCTAAACCTCCATCTCGTTTTCTTCGCTCCATTTTCCTTCTCCCTCTCTTATCTATGTCAAGTTTTCTTTCCTGTAGTTTTACTTCTCCTTTCCTTTTCACTTCCTTTATACCTTCCTTACAATAAACATATACTTTCTAAAAATCTAGTACCCTTATGCTGTTTTCTAATAATTGATAAGCCCTACAAAAGATTCACTGAGATGTTTCCTTAAACCCTTCATATACATATTATTCTATGCTGTCTTATGAAAATTTGTAACTTCAAAAATATTTTAGAGAATGGAGATTATATGGAGATTATGTAAACATTAGCAAAAAAACTTTTGGAGAAGGAAAAAAGAATGGGTAAAGTTATTTAATCAATTAAGGATTGGCAAACGAGTTATTTTACAGTGCTAAGAGTGGAGGAAGACTGAAATAAAGAAACTCAAAGATTAACATTTACTTTTATTTTTCCTTCAATACTCCTGATTTCATAAAAACAGCTAGTAAATTCAAAAGGTCTGAGTTGCATTTTGAAGTAGTTAGGTATAAAAAAAAAATCAACAGAGCAGAAAGGAATACATCGATTTCAAACTGGATCATCAACCCCTGAATACTTAATAACTGAGTTACTTTAAATTAAATTTAAAATTCAAATTCTTTTAAAACAAAGAATTAATATCACTAAATAAGAATATACATAGATTTACTTTTAGGAAACAAAATATAGTCATTAAATTAGAGTTAGTTGAGTTAAACTGTTACAACTGGGCAGGGTCAGGGGAGGGAAAAATTTACTCTTTTATTAAATTAGAAACAATCATGGAAAATCATCCAAAATATTATACCAAGAAGAAGACATGTAAGCTTAAAGAAAATTTAAAAAAAGGAAAAAAACCAGCTCATAAAAATTTTTGGCATAAAATAACTACAACAGGTAAATATAAATATGCATTTATGAAAGGGCAGTAGAATTAAAATTTATTAAGCACCTAGGAACCATGTGTCAAGCACTATGCTACTTCACCACCTTTCCCCTTTATAATAATCCTACAGAAAAAGTATTTATGAACAGAACAAAAAAAAAACCCAGTTAAACCAAGCTTTTGCTAAAGATAAACAATGCAGTATGATACAATTTATAAGAAAAAGTTCAATCACAGCAACCAAATCCATGAAAACTCATACTTAAATGAAATATTCTAAAATCTTTATTAAGGAGAGGCGGGAAAATAATCCTGAATTCATACAAGATGGCTTTCCATTCCCAAAAGCAATTGGCTTCCCCTAGGAACTCACTGTCCTACCCACGCTAACAAAGGACAAGGATCTTCCTGCCTCCAACCTGTCCTGCACTCAGCTGGTTAACCTTCCTTATAACATTATTTCGTTATGCAGTTTCGTTAAAATTAAAATAATTTAGAGATAGGAAAATCTCCAGAGATCACCACCCAACTAAATTATATATGAAGAACTAGTATCAAGCATTAAGTGACTTGCCCAAGATCACAAATAAGAAGACTAAAAATAATGACAGAATTTCTTGACTCCTACTTCAATCCCTTTTTTCAAGCAATCACTTTCCACTTATTAGTAGTTGCTAAGTTTTAATGACTGGGTCTATGCCCGGAAACTGTGACAGTCTGGGTCTGGGCAATTCATAAGCAGTGGGATTTTTAAAACTCTCCAAGTGTTTCTAGTAGTACAGCCAGGGCTGAGAACCACAGTATTAAACCCAATCACAATTTAGTCTTTAAAATTCTGTCAGGTCCCAAAAGATTCTTCTAATCTTTCATTTTCTTTTTTCCCAAGTTTATTGAGATATAACCGACATATAACTCTTCCAATCTTACTTAATATTTTACTCACCCAAATAGATACCCTT